CCAATTGCTTTTAGCTTGTCAATCAGAATGGGGTGATTGACAGTGTCGAAAGCCTTTTGTAGGTCCAGCATCACCATGCCGCAGTACTTGCCCTCGTCCACCTCTTGTTTGATGTGGTCGCTCAAATAAAGAAGGCATGTGTCAGTGGAGTGGGATGTTCTAAAGCCAGATTGAAATTCATAGATTAGTTTCTTTTCCGCGAGGTACTTTTCGACCTGTTCATATACTATTTTTTCCATGACTTTCGAGATGGAGTTAAGTATAGAAACAGGGCGGTAGTTGCCTGGGTCCAATTTGCTGCCCTTTTTGTGCAGGGGGGTTACTCTTGCAATTTTGAAGTCTTTGGGTACTTTTCCCTGTTTTATGGAGAGGTTAATTATGTGAGCTATGACTGGTGAGATGGCGGTTGCTGTGTCTCTGAGGAATTTGGAGGGGATATTGTCGTGGCCAGTGGCCTTGTTAGGTTGGAGGGCGCTCAGTTTAATGAGTACCTCTGCTGTTGTTACCCTTGCTAGACTGAAATCATCTTTGCGTACCCCTAGGTTTTTGTAGTAGGTCATGATGTGATCTACTCCAAAAAGCCCTGAGTGGGAGGGTAATTTATTTACAAGAGTTGTGGCTATGTTTGTGAAAAAAATGTTCAAGTACTTGGCCACTTCCAGTTTGTCTGTGATGAGCCTGTTATCTGTCTTTATGTTTAAGTTAGAAAATCTCGTTTTGAGTTTTTTACTGCAGCCAAGCTGGTTATTGAGTAATTTCCAAAGTTCACGGGATTTATTTTTGTTTTCCTCAGTTTTGACATTGATGAAATTCTTTTTGGCAGTTTTGATCATGGAGCTTACGTCATTTCTTAGTCTGTTTCTTTCAATTTTTAGTTCAGTCACGTGGGCCTGGAGTTCACTGCTCGTGCTTTTGGAAAGCATTGACTGACTTTTATGAAACTCAGAGCATTTTTTGTCTCTGGTTTTCATGGCGGTCAGTATGCCGGAGTGCATCCACGGCTCAGCGCGATTTTTTTACCCTGGTTGTTCTTAGGGGGGCCAAATCATTGAGTATTGCAGAGAATTTGTTTTTTAAACCAAGCCATGTTTCTTCAACTTGTGTACCACTGAGCTCATCTGACCAGTCCAGGCTCTCCAGTTCTAGGTTAAAGGCCTCGCTAGAGTAGTTTTTGAGGTCTCTAGATATGACTGTTTTGTGACAGCCGGCCCTTTGTTTTAGCTTTTTGCGGGTACAGAATATCATATAATGATCACTTAAACCGCATGCTATAACCCCTTTACTGGAGATCCTGGACCTGTCAGAGGTCAGAATGAGATCAATGGTAGTTTGTGTTGTTTCACATACCCGGGTGGGTTGGGTGATTAGCTGGCTGAAGCCGTGCAGATCACAAATCCTACTGAAGGACTTGAAGACGGACGTGTCTTTACGTTGCATATCCGTGTTCCAGTCTCCAATAATAATTGTCTCTACATCCCCCACATCAGCCAAACACCCATCTAATGTATCATAAAAGTCACTCTGTTCCGGTGGTCTATAGATTGTCCCGACTATTACAGATTTAGCATTGTCAAAAAGAATTTCAACAGATTCAATATTTTCATGATGCAGGTCAGTACGGTTTTTGAAATTGGTGTCTTTATGTATGTACATGCAGACACCACCTCCATTCACGTTCCTGTCCCTTCTCACTACAAGATAATCTTCAATTTCAATCTCTGAATCTGTAATGGAATTGTCCAATTTGGTCTCAGAAAAGCATAATATGCTTGCCTTACCGTTCATGAATAGCTGCCTGAGTTCAGCCAGTTTGTGTCTCAGGCTGTTAGTGTTCAGATGAAAAATATGTAGTCCATTTTTGTTGCTTAAATGCACAATGTCGTCAGCTTGCAGATATTTGTCTTTGTCCGTTACAGCAACCGGCTTGTCGTGGTGGGGTGGTGGTGGTGGTGGTGGGGGGAGGGAGGCTCCGTTGTAGCTTTAGCCGTTGATATGCTAGCAGGGTGGCTAACAACATGGCGGATATTTGTTCCCTCGGATCTCGGTTCTCTTCCTCTCGTCACTGCCTCATGCGTGTCTGTCTGCCGAGGCGTCCCCGGGGGAATCTCGAAGTCTCCGTTTATTCCTCGGTCTCCACGGTCTCTGTTGTCGTCGCGTAGTTGTTGTTGCAGCGGAAGAGATGCTAGTTGTGATATTTCATCTTGGCACATTTTAAGAGTGTTTATGAAGGTTTCAGCATGGGCTGTATTTAAGTATATATGTTGTGACTCAGAAGCAATTCTCTAGAAAGAACACACTGTCTTTTTGCTTCTTGGATAATATGAAATGACTGTCTGTAATAGTGTTTGTGTGAGTGTTGGTAGTGTTTCTATCTAGAGTGTGTTATTGAGAAACGGACTGATAAAGCTTGTATCGTCGATTCTTGATCATTTTGCAGGTGGCCATCAAGATCATCGACAAGACCCAACTGGATGCTGTCAACCTGGAGAAAATCTACAGGGAAGTTCAGATTATGAAGATGCTGGACCACCCACACATCATCAAGCTGTACCAGGTGAGTCTGAAACATGATTCACAAAATGAATCATCATTTTAGAGATGCAGCTTCCCTCTATCTGCTTTCACTGATTTAGACTTCAGTACCTAATGATTTGAACTCGGCCTGGGTTTAAAAGTTGTTGCTTGCAGTGTTGTAATGATGTCTACAAAAGGTTTATTCTGGGTTTTAATATGTTTTTTTTGGAAATGTATTACAAAATTAAACATCAGTTGGGTCATCTTTTCCCTGGTTAAAGTGGCCACTCAGAAAGCAGCTGAGCTAATATTATTTGCAACAAACATGGCAGTGGATGCCATATATTAACCTGTTGAGCGTGTTAAAAACAAATGCGATTCTTCAAGCAGAATTCACCACTGTTTCTTGTTGATATTCTTTCGTTATTTAGGGTCAGGGTGTTGAACCGCAGGATTAATCCAGGTCATTCTCTAATGCACTATCAAACAACTGCTGCCTAGCAGAACCTGCCACCCCCGGATACTTTTAAGACATGAGAGCATAGTAAATAACTGACTGACATTCTGCACCGTGTGAACATGCTACTAGTGGGGTTCAAACAAGATTATATTAATAACATACTTAATTATTGTACTACAGCATCCAGCTCTATTTAAGAATGGACTGCTTGCTTAGTAAACACTGTTCATTCTTGTCAGTGCCTCCAGACTTAATGTTGAAATTAGCTGTCTGAGGACTAGGTCACATTTCAGCAAAGAATTTCCACTAATTTGGTGTTTCTATAAGTAAAAAACAAACTAAATTGTTGCCAGACACAACATAAACTGGTACTGTGAAACACAAATGTCATAGTTACAAAATCACACATATTGAAATCCTGGTTCGTGGTATTGTGATACTGGCCATTTCTCAATGTCGAGTAAACCTGCTGCAGAGCCACTATTTCAAGTATACTACGTCATTGAGTGGCGCCGAAGGACTGTTTAAATACCCAGCATTCGGCGCCACTCGATGACGTAGTATACTGGAAATAGTGGCTCTGCAGCAGGTGTACTCGACATTGAGAAACGGCCAGTGGCTCACTGTCACACTGTCATGGTTTACAGCAGGGGTGTCCAAACTGCGGCCCGGGGGCCAAATGCGGCCCGTGGGCCGTTTTGAATGGGCCCTCAGCCAATTCTGAAAGTGTAATGAAATATGGCCCACAAATGAAACTTGTGCTTGTGCCCCTTCCCTTCAGATTCTATTACACTTGTCTTGTATTGTATTGTACTTCCTAAATATATATGTAAACATATATTACACGGTATTCATGTGTTAATAAGCCAACTTTTAAAATAAATTCAGTCAATTACATTTGAAAACATTTTCTAACAAATCTAACTTGATAAGAAAAACTAATTTACTTATTTGTATAACAAGCATGAAATATACTGTACCCTTCATATTTCCTCTTTATTATAAGCAATCTAAGGCTCCTGTTTTAAGGGATGAGCTGCCAACCAAATAAATAAAACCGTCAAGTCACGGTGTCTGCTGTGAAAAAGACCTGAGACATCCTCTTTGTCACTTTCTGTTATCCAGAAATGCATTGAACACCATGGCTTTCTTTTGTAATTACAAAAAATTCTATAATGGATATGTTTTTAACTATTTTTTTAAGTTGTGATATTATTTCATGCAGCAGAAATGTGCCTACATTTTTTTTTTTAAGGCTAATAAAAAATAATCTTGCTGTGCTATTTTAATTGCCTACCCTCCATAACTCAAAAAAGTTGGTGATTTAGTCATATTACATAAGCCTTTGGGGTCCTGTTAATTTGTTTATGGAAAGTAAATGAGTGTTCATTATCATTACACAACCATTTGGCACCGTTCCAGTTTTGTGTTTTGGTGTGTATCATTATTTCCAACAACACATCCTCCAATCAGCTCAGGTCAATTAGTGATTTCCCTTCTAGTTTTGTAAAGTTTGGTCTGCTCAAAGAGAATCCTTGGCTAATGAAAAAACACAGAAAACCCAACTGTGGACCCCATTCTAGTTTATGTGTTGTGTGGCGTCTTCTTTGAAGTTCACTCCTGTGCCCTGATTTTCTAACCGTCCTCTGCAGAGTGTTCAGCTTCCCACTTTCCTGCATACTCTACTCTCTCTACAAGTACAACAACTTAAAACAGACAAAATAAACACTTAATGTTGTTTTCAGAGTTTTGTCAGTCAGTACTTTTGTCAGTCTATAACGAGCTAATCACAAAGTGCAGCTTGCATTTCGTGGGATCTGGAATTCGGACTATATTTATTAAATTACACAGATTTAGCGTCAGTTATTTTCCCCATAGCAATTTTTCAAAGTCAAAGCAATCTGGAGCCAGACATACTGTATTCTTTCAGTATAGCACTGTATAATATGTACTTAATGTATTATATCCGCTCTATTGAATTGGTGTAGAGATTATTAATGGTGCAGGAAAGCTTTTACTAGTTAGCAGCTGCAGACATGATAAATAAATGGTTTCAACAATTGTTACATTGTAGCAACAGGGTTCTGTAGCAAAATCTTAAACACAGAAAATGATCATATATATGTAGGGCTGTCTATTAAACCTCCGTACCTTTTTAGGTACAGTAACAACGAGATACTGTAAGTCTGCAGAATAGGGTACAGTATATCAGATGGAAATTGCAGTGATTGTTAAAAAATAATGTCTAATTTTTACATAGGACAGTTCGCTGTTAAAATTGTATTCATATTTCATTTGACTCTGTTTTTAGTTGAAAAAAAATTAGGGGGGTGTTACCTTGTTTGGTTATTGGCTAATGGTTACACAACCCAAAAAATCGTTATGACATCATAAAGTAGCCAAAATCTGATCAGCTCATTTTCAGACAGGTTTTTATATAAATGGATCAGGTTAATCTTTTTTCCTGAAACGTTCAGAATCTCTTTACACAGAGGCGACACATGTTTATGTCTAAAAGACATGAAAAAGTGGATTTTGCATAATAGGTGACCTTTAAGTTGAAAATTCTACCAACAACATCTGCTGTTTCCCTGATGTTTGGCCAATGCTGTCCAGAATGGTGTTTTAAACGTATGAATAATCAGTTTAGGATTGCCAACAGATGGACAGACAACATATGAATCTACTCGGAGTCTAGCTGTCTGTACGAACTAAAGTGATAGAAAGATATCCATTGTAAAATAAAAATATGCGTCTCTGAATGTGGATCCCTATCTTGTCAAACACAGATGTAATTAAGTAGATTAGTAATGGCTGCATTCCATTCAGGTGTGCCAGGGCCCTGCTATTGTGCACGCTGGTTTACTGACACTCAACGGAACCATTGATAATACCATTAGTTACTCATCTGCTCTTCTTGCTGTGACATGTCAAAATGTCCGCTGTGAGGAAGGTTTATTCCCCAGAATAGATGCTGTATGTCAAAACGCAATGCCACTTGTTTTGACTGATGAATTAAGCCCGGTATGGGTAGGCTCCTCATTATCGCTGAATCAGTTGGATTCCAGCTCGACAACACCGAGAGGACAAGATGTGTTTTTTTTACACAACCAGGGCCAACCAAAAAAAACCTGGCTTTAATTTCCTAAATCTATGAATCGGTCAGTGTAACAGATGGAAAATTGATCATAAACAATGAGCGTGGGATTTCTAGTGTGAACGTCTGGCTCACTGTGTCTGACTCATCCTCTTCTCTCCATGTGATTCTCCCCTCCACATTTAATTCTGTTCATCTCCAGAGTGTTTCTGCTTCTAAATCTGTTCTCCTCCTCCTACACAACACAGCACGGTGTGAGGGCTGAAAGGTTTTAAGTACCATTCACCATCCGTCCACCTCCATTCTCTTACATGGATGCCATATTTAGACCCTGTGCCATTCATAACATTTTGTTTTGCTGTGTGGAGGCCAGGCACTGTGGTTTTACTTAAGAGAAATGTGGACAATTGTGCATTATATTGGGTTATTTGTTTGTTTGGTTCCTTTTTCCCTTACTCTAATTATCTCTTGATGCAGCAGACTTTTAAATTATCTAGTGAGATAGCTATTGAAAATGTGTCTGCTGTTTGGATTCACTCTCCCTCTCTCTTCTCCCCTCTCTCTGCACCTGTTCCTTCGTCCTCTCCTTATCTCAGGTGATGGAGACGAAGAACATGCTATACTTGGTCACGGAGTATGCCAAGAATGGGGAGATCTTTGGTGAGTGATTTTATATTATTTCTTAAACACAAGATCAGTATGTCTGCAGTTTCTAAAAAATATTGCCCCCACCCAGTTCATGCACATTTTCCCTATCTCGGTTGCACAAAATCTGAACTGTTGTGTCAGTAATTTTTCTGACAAACAAGGAAGTAACAATGTCTTACACTCCCAATCTCAAAGGTCATATGATTGACGGCATAATCCTCGCCCTTGTCAGGTGCTGCTCATGATTGCTGTGCTAAATGTGCTGACACCGCTTACTTGTCATATAAAGATCTCACTGAGAAGGCCGCAGAGAGGCAGCCTCAAAGAGAAAAGGTTTCATTTATTACCATATGTGGTGTAGAAGCACTTTCTGTTCATTGCTTTACTGTACTACTCAGATTGTGCAAGATTACTTTTAACATGCCGGCCAATTACGTAATTTCTCCACTTTCACTGACTTGGGAGTTTGATTATATGTTGAATATATACTGTTAAACTATTTTTCTGTCTTTCAACCTAAAACGTAATAATTTTTTATGAGCCGATCAGCACAAATAAAATGGAAATTTCCATATTTTTAGCCTCCATTTTAGAAACACACGTGACATTGAAGGTTTCTAATGTCTCTAATTCCCCTCCTCGACTCCTATCCTTGTGTCTTAGTCCCGCCCACAGGAGGAGAGAGGAGTGGAAGCAGCAGGCGTGTAGAGAAATGAGAAATCCTCTCCTCTGAGCGGTCATTTTAAAGAGACGTCCATTAATGATTACAGGAGGCACAGCAGCCCTCTGTCTGATGGACAGAACTGTGTTCATGACGACTTATATATTTACTTTAATTAATTCACAGTGCGGTATAATGAGACAATAACAGGCTACAGGTGCAGACATATATACACACACACACATATATATATGTGTGTATATAAATATATACAATTTCAGAATCAAAAAAGTATGAGAGCACTCTCATAATAATGTAACACTATCAAAGACTGGATGTCCAGGGGATGCATGCAGAGCTGTCATTGGCTGAGATAAGTCCGGCCGTGCGTCACGACTCTTTTAAACATCACTGTTGCCGGAAATGCATCCGCGGAGGAGCCATGGAGGAACCATCAGCGTATCCTCGATTATAGCTCCTCCAGAGAGCCTCCTCGATGCTCGGTCGTCGATGTGCATTTAGAGAAATTAGATGTCCTTCCCATGGCACGCTGAAATCCATTTCCGGGTCACTACCGGAGGACCGAGAAGTCGAGGAAGGGAAAATAGAAAAATGAGAAATCTCTATTGAATTGGACAGGTACAGCTATTTGTTCAGTTTACTTTACTTCTATTTGTACTATACAAACAGCATAACTGATAACAGCAATACACCTAGGGAAGTGTAGGAACATTTTAAATAATTTTACAAAATTAAGTTAACAAAGTAAAGGAAACATGATGCATTATATAAACAGTGCTGTACCAAAACCTGATTATTGCATTACAACTATTAATATCACATTTTCCGGATAAATTAAACACCTTATTTAAAGATTTTTTGACAATAGCAAACTCTTTATAAACATTTTTGATCGCACTCCATATCTGTGCACCCCAACTCTCAGGTAATGCTGACTGTCTGGTGTAGCTAACCTTTATTTATTTATTTGTATTAAAATGTAGGACTGCAGCAAATGTATTAGTCATTTTCAAAATTAAGTGATTTGATCTTTCTTGGTTAATCAACCATTTGTATAATATTTATATAAGATAGTGAAAATGTGTTTTTACTATCACAGAAGAAAAAAACAAAATCCTCACATTTGAAAGGCTGGAACTATGAAATACATTGCTTAATGTTATATTAATTATTTGTAATGTTTGCGAAACATTTTTGTTATTTATATATTTATTTGTACTTTTCCAAAATGCAATCACATCTTTTAAACGGTAACCTGTTTCACATTATGAACAGAGAACGGCTCAACGTCAGTAGTCTTAACAGGAGCCAAATAGATGTCACATAAATAAATCTTCTATGATTCATCTTGGCTGCCTGAAGGACTTTCATAATGATTTAAAAATGACTAAAAAGGACCAGATGTTGTCATTTTGGCAGAAGCAGATTACGGAGAAGAAAAAACACCTTGCCTATTTCATTTTGGACCTTTGGGACAGATGGAGGTGATTCTTTCAGTAAAGAAAATAATTTCCAGTCAGTCATTTACCAAGTTTTTAAGAGCCTAAACATAACCTAGCAGGCTCAGACGTTCATAAAACATCATACAAGATTCCAAGTGGACAATAACAATAATTCGTTTTCACTGTAGAAGTGGTTTACAATGCGTACGAGTAAAACAGACTGTATAAAAAATATTGAAATTATCATCTACTGTAACATATTTCCTGTACCTATCGCTACTACACGCACACTCAAACTCAATGTTTAAAATGTGTACATACTGCAATCTCAAGTAAACTGGACGTAAGCTCCCCAAAAAGTGTTTTAATTGCAAAGGAATTCTTTTTTTATTTTCAAATCGCAGAATTTTCTTCTTTTTTTTAAAGCTAATAAAAACCCTTCAATCCTTTCTTATGTGAACATGCAGACATGAACTAATCATACATTCAAATATTTCAAGCATTAATAACACAAGTATAGACCTGTCTGACGTGGACAACCTGCAATCCTGTGGATTCATCATTCACTTGTGTCTCACCTATTAGACAGTCTGAGAATGACGCAGATGTCGAGAGGATTACTCCGGCGATAGTCTACGGTGAACCTAATAGCCTATGTGTGAGTGTGCGTGTCTTTGTAACTCTGAGGCCAGTGTTCCACTTGTGATGTTGACTCAGCAGTAGCAACTCCTGCTCCTGTGACCCAGAGAGAGCTGTGAGGATGACACAAGTACAAATTAATGAGTGTGGTTGAAAATAAAAAGGAAGTACAGAAATGCAGAGAGATAAAACAGAAAGACTCATCTGTATATATGTGACAACTACTGCAACTAATTGTGGTTGGAACAAGCAGAAGCTTCTGCTAGCCTCGCACTGTATACTGTAGTACACTCTTAAAGGAAAGGTTTTGCAATATAGGCAAAATGCTTTTTTATTTTGTTTTTCCTGTCTGTTAAATATAGAGCTACATACAGGAAAATGTGTCTTATTTAAGCATGAAGACTGGAATCAAGGGGCAGCAAGGACAGCTAGTCTTTTTTCTGCGCACAGGAAAAATAATATCAACCTTTGTTTCTATATTTTGTTTCAGGAGAGATTTGACAAATGAAACTAAGATACCACTTTGTGAGATAAAACATTTTTCGCACAGATCTCTGTATGCGTTTCCCATTGTTTCCATTCTTCTTGCTAAGCTAAGCTAACACCGTCTCTTTAACTCTGGTCAAGAAACCGACTGAGCGTATTTCCAGAAATGTCAAACTATTCCAATAAATAACCAATCTTGGTTGGTTAACCTAATATTCCTTCCATAGATTATCTCCTGGATCATCTCACAGTATTATAAAACCATTGTGTCCTGATTCCTCAGACCTCTCTGCTCTGATTGCACAATGTAATGTAGTTATGCAAGACATTTATGTCATCACCAGCTGCAGCAGTAGCAGCTTTGGCTAAGCCAGTCAGACAGCGACTGGTAGCTGCAGCACTAGACTAGTGTTACACTATCTCACAAAATTGAACAATCATTTCTGATTTCCAAATACGTCTTCTGGAGATGGATCAAGTCTTTCAGTCATGATGCACCCAGACAAATGGATAAGCTGCCAAGCAAGCTCAACAGCCTCTTCCTCCACAATCACCCCCCAGAGAGCTGCCTCCGCTATTCTGACATGATGAATTTTCTAAGGTCTGTTCCTGGCCATAGGTTACGAAAAGAGAGCAAGATGCTAGTTGTTGAGGATGCTCAGCAGCCCACCCTGTTACAGTGAAACAATAGTGAGACAATGGATGAGCCGATTCAGACCAAACAGTAAATGGTCTTGTGGTGGAGCGTGAGGGGGTTGTGTATCTGTGTTTGTCTGTATCTGTATGTGTATCTGTGTTTGTCTGGAGCCCTAAAGACAAAGAAGCGGAGCTGGGTTTGGCAGAAGGAGGCAGAGAGTGATGAGTTCATGCTCACAAAGGGGTGGGTGGGCACAGTTATGGGCACAGCAGAGGCATCCCTGCCAGTTTGGTGATGTGCCTTTGTGTCTGCCTGTCAGTCAGTCAGTATGCTGCTCCACAGTCTGCTTCAACACCGCAGTATGGATAAAACCTGGAAATTGGGTCAACCACAAATACAGCAAAACTGCAGAGAGGAGAGCGGAGGCAGGAGGGGAGAGGAGGCAGAAGAGAATAGAGGCGAGAGCAGGGGACATCCATTTGAATTTGAAGGTGGTGGGGAAATGTAGGGCATGCATATTTAAGAAAGCACTGCTGGAAAGAGGGTAGTGTTATAGCTGGCAGTGAGAAAAACCACTTATACAGATATCTTGATATAAACCGTCCTGCATATTGATTGGGTAAGTTTCCTGCCATCTTTTAGTCAGCAGGGTGTGGTTGCATTGACTTTGATGACCGGTATAATTGTATCCATGACTAACTTAATTCTAATTAATTAAGTTGATACTATAATGAGTTGTTGATGCTTGAAAATAATAGACTAACTCCCTATTAATTAAAAGAAAATGTTGCATGCAGCCAGGGCCAGCCCTGACCAATTTGCTGCCCTAGGCAAGATTCCCCCCCCCCCCCCCACCGACCGCGGCCGCTTGCATCACAGTAAATTCCAATGTTAATAAAAACACACATATGTTTTTTGGGAGTTTGACTTATTTTAAAGTAACACAAAATTAAAACCTATGATTGCACACTAAAACCATTATTTCAAAAAAAGAACTATTTCCCATAAACCTCTGGCGGTTCAACTTACCTGATTTGGGGGGGGGGGGGGGTGCGCCATAGTTTATGGGCGCTGTATGCAAGATAGGCGTAGTTCTGTTAGTATAAGATAATAAGATGTACTTTGTTGATCCAAAATCGGGAAATTGTTTTGTTATGAAATTTAAATAAAAAATTATTTTCCCCAATTTCCGGCGCCTCCCATGGGTTGATGCACCCTTAGCATTCGTCTATACTGCCTCTGCCAAGGGCCGGCCCTGCATGCAGCATCTTACATGGCAGCTTTCAGGTATCGACGTGATGAAAGATTAATTGCAAAAAGGAAAATGTTATGCGAGAATAAACCTGACATATTTGTCTAAGTTTGAGCTGAGGTCATTTGTGTTCATCTTCTCCAGTGATGGCAGATATTTGGAAACAGTGTAGTGGTTTAGTAAAACATAAAACAGTTTTAAATAATGTGGTGGTTTTTTTCCTATCTGCACCTGCACAAAGCATCAGTCCTACAGTATTAGCTAAACTAAACTGAATGGTAAAGTCTTCCAATTTCATCGTAGCATGTCATTTAATTCTTAATTATATTCCTTAATCAGTTGTGTAGGCTTTAATCATCCATTAAAGGTAAGCGTGTAATGTGCTTTGCTCTATGTTACGTAAGCTGGTACAGTATGCCGAACCATTTCAAGTGTCAGAACTTAAGTGTATTCATTAAGTGGTGTTTGTTGTAATGCTAAAGTCATAGTACTTTGAGGCTGGAGGTGTAATCTCCTGCTGTCACTTTAATCACTGTTGTATTAACACACCATCAAGGTATGTTATAATCCCATTATCGCATTTATTTTTAGAGTATCTTCACCAACCATATAGATATTCGGAAGTTGGTCATGGAAACCAACATTTAACCCTATCCAAGAGGAATTCTCCTCCCCTTCCACTATCTCAGCTATCTATTTGACAGGGCACCATTGCTGTGCTTAGTGCCACCCAACACAATTGTGATTGGTCTAAACAAGCATAAACAAGCCATAGTGTTTTTTTCCGCTATACCAGCGTGATACCATGTGGATCCAGACCTTTCTGTAGCACTTACAAAGTGATGCGGCAATTATAGACTGCTCAACCTTGCACTGACTAGATGCTGTGGAATATAACCCAAAAGTTAAATGGAAATGGTCTTATAAGTGGCTCAAACATGCAGGAGTAAGTTAGCAGCTTTGTTTTTCAGGATTTATTTTTTATATCTGAATACGCGATAAGAGAAGTGGCCTGTCACAACCAGTAGCTGCAGCAGATCTTTGGAGGGGTATAACTTGGATGAAAGGGCAGTGTTCCTCTCCCGCTGGCTCCAGCCCAATTTACTGCCTGAGGGTGTCTATCAACACGCACATCGATGTGACATTAAAGTTTCTGCTCTATTTAAGTGGTTTGGGTGTCTGTTACTGATGTGGGAACAGAGTGTGTGTTTGCCCCTTGTCCCTTTCACATACACACACACTCCCCATGCTGCCTCATGGTGTTGTCTGAAGTCCAGCCAGAGGTCTCGCCAACAAGCCAGTTTTCACTCATGATGTTTGTCCCCTCCAAACCTGAGCAGCTGTTGGGAGACTTCGGTCCTCACCACGCTCTCAGCAGAAGCAGAACACAGCCGTTGTTAAGCTCTTCCCTAATACCCCTATGATTAATTATTGTTCTGCTCGCTTTCCTAGAATGCCCCTCTGCATCCCTCTCTGTTCTGAGGCCCTTGCCCTTGCCAACATTGTATCAGCGGAATACTCATCCCTCCACGGGGGGGGGGCGGTGGGTGTGTGTGTGTGTGTGTCCAAATGGAATTCTGTTTAGACATGAGATAAGTAGTTGATCAATCAAATAGTCAATTTACTTAAATTATTCGCCAACAATTTTAATGATTGATTATTCCGTGCTATATTGAGTCATGCAGGGCGTAAGAAAATAACTACTAATGCAAATGTGATTATATTTTTTGTCAGATGTGGCCAACCTGGTGGGGATATGCTTGAATCTAAAGTTTGTCTTTTGTACTACTTTTTGCCCCTCCAACAAGCTCTTCAGTTAAATCATACTGACACCTGAGAGGTTTGATCCCAGAACGGTTATTATTTTAAAGTCATGTTCTCCTGCCAGGTGCATACTTGGATGTCTTTGACACATTCCCCTCCCCAGTGTGTTTTTTGATTAGCAGCGTTACATGAAAGCTGCCCTGGTCACTGAACAGCCTCTTCTGTGGAATTTGCCAGCCACTATCTAATCAGGTTTTCTTACTTGGTCAGGTATTAGCTATTTATCAATCACAGCAGCATGATATCCCTGAAACTTCATGGTGTTAATGGCCTTTGGTCATTTTTATGGAACAGTCTTTGTTTCAACACAAAGCTGACCCTTCAGTCAACTCCTAGTTAGTTGAGACGACCCAGAGTTGTTGAGATGAAGTGTTTACCATGTGATGTACAGTATGTCGCTCTCCTCAGGATATAAGCTGCTGTACTTTAAATAGGTTTTAGGTTTACTTGATGGCAGTTTAGTTTGTCTAGTTTTGGGTTGTGAAATTGGCTTAGTGTGACTGCTCTGTGCATCTTGAAAGAAGCCTAGTTTGAAAGGCTGTAAGAGATATTTTCTTTAAGTAAATGTGTGCACACAGGGAGAATCATAACAATATTACTTCTGTAAAAAAAGTAATAAATATATATATATATTTTAATTATTTATCTTAAGCAAACTAAGCCTTTGTGACGGAAAATGTTCTTTTATAGAAATGACCTTAAGGTTCTTCAGATAATTGCGTTCCTTATATGTTTTTGTTGTGGTCTTGGTGCATTGTCATCAGGTTAAGTCGTCGTCTGTATCCATGCCAGCTGTAGGAAAGCCAACACAGAGTGTCCTATCTAGTTTCCACAGTGTGAAATGAAGAGTTAGCAAGCTATCTGGACAGAGAGGTGTGAAGAGGAACCCTGGCGACGGCAACAAACACTTTTTCAGTTCACAGGGTTGAAAAAAAAACATGCATCCTGAATAGTCTGTCAGCCCACTATGCAAAAATTTGTGAACATTGGGTGTGTGAAAGGTTAGTAAAACAGTGAAGGGGGTGTTGGAGCCAACAGAGAGAAAAGGTCAGTGATCTGAATGTATGACTTTAGCCCCGCGAAGAATGCATATGCTTCTTTCTCCACAACCACAAACTCACTCGCACAGCTTGTGCTCAGCCCATAACAGATAAATCAGATGTTTTGGTTTCCCGTTGGGTAAAAACCCAGGTTCATATTTACACTTGGGTCTTGATTTCTCCCAATTAATGTCAAGGTTGTATATGTGCACTGCTCTCATATACCTCCCACTAACCCCTGACTCACACCCTGCTCCAACTTGTACTAGTGTAGACATAATGTAACAGAAATCCAGTTCTCAGAAAGCTCGTCGTCCCCTCTCCTCCTCCGGCTATGACAACACAGTTTCTCCACTGTCAACCACTGCCTGCTCTCTCTCTCTCTCTCCACACGCACACTCACTTAAAGACACACACACACTCACAGAGGGTAAGAACAGGGTTTACTTTCAAAAGAAAAATAGCATTGTATATCTTGACCTGAATGCGTTTACAAAGCATGCTGTAATGTAGAACAGCTGTAAACTATTGACACCAGGCCTGCACCTCATCAAGAGTAAATTATAGTTTCAACACAAGCACTAACCCTTTGGACGGTTAAAAAGAATGTTTCATTGATTTAACATACAGTAGGGGGACACCTTATACTGTGTTTGAAAGACCTGAAGAGTCATGTTATATAAGTGAATGTATAATATTCTCTGCATTTACTTCGAACATGACACATGACCTCTCTCAACTGTCTTTGTTTCCCCTCTCTCTCTCTCTCTGTCTGTAGACTACCTGGCAAAGCATGGCCGTCTCAGTGAGCTAGAGGCCAGGAGGAAGTTCTGGCAGATCCTGTCGGCGGTGGAGTATTGTCACAACCGCAACATCGTCCACAGGGATCTGAAGGCTGAAAATCTGCTGCTGGACGGCCATATGAACATCAAGATAGCAGGTAATGTAACAACGTGGTGCAGAAAACCCATCAACTCATTGATGGATGAGATATTCAGGGTGGAATAATTTAGTTTTGATCCATTGCCTGCCATGATCTCAGTGCCGGCGCAGCTCAGAAATGTCTTAACTACCTGCCCAGGCCATTTGCACAGTGTTGAGAAGTGGTCCGAGGTTGCTTGCGAGATATCTGCTAGCTGAACGATGCCAGATCTTGAAGTCTCTGCAACAATCCAAAGTCTCGTAGAACATTTTCCATAGTTTTGATCAGAGGAGATCAAACATAATTTCCCATTGTAGCCCTCTTTTTAGAGGAAGACACATTTATAGATGGAGCACAAAAATACATTTTGAGACTTAGGTCTGTAGTACAAGCTTCCAAGTGTGATTATTAAGCAACTGGCATTTAGAGATAGCTAGTGAGAATGTCACCCTACCACTGTTTTCGAGAGTGAGGGAGGAAATGACCTTATGAATATAAGTGGGTAGAGGGAAGAGTTTGGGTTTAATTGGAGGACTAGAAAAGGTGATAAATTGGATTGGCTACTTCAGTGACAGAGTAGCTGGTGAAAAGATGAAGGGAGAATGATAAGGAGTGCTACATAGCAGGGAGGCAGCTCTGACAACAATCTAAAGGGGCTGAAGTTTATCTTAGGCTTTTAGAAACTGATACTAAAAGGTGAGCAAATCACATGTGGACTGTATACAAATATACCAGAGAAACTTAGCATGAAGGTGTGTTACAGGAAAAACAGTATCTTGTCTTCAAAGGACTCTGTGTCATGGACTTTAGAATCTTATATTTAATATATCTTATCTGTAATGTTTTTTTCTGTTTTGTATGCATACTTCTTGTTAAACATTAAGTTGTCTTTGGCTCTTTTTCTGCTGGAACCAAATTAGGGGTGCACAACTAATCGACCTTAAATCGATTAAAAGTCGATGACCAAATTAGTTGCCAACTGATTCAGTCGTCGATTCGTTGGTGATGTCATCACGTGTGTTTTACGCGCTGTTAAGCTCCAATGTTATCGGTATTTTTATCGGTACTGGAGACATTTAAAAAATATGTCATATGTATTATTGCTACATAAACATTATATCGCAGTCTTAGTGTCGCCAACTCGTTTCTAACATGCAAAAAGACAAAAAAATGCGTCTATGATGTATTTTCGATCCTTCCAATCCAGACGAGATCTCTCTCCCCGTCTGTGTGCGAGGGGGCGGGGCAGTTTACACACGCGGCTGCTACATGCAGCAACACACACACGGCGGGGATGGCGGAGAGAACTAAGCGCTCCAAGGTGTGGTTAAATGTCTTGAGGTGGACAATGCTTGTTGCCAATAGTGCAATAAGAGTTTAGCATGAGGGCGGTAAGGGCGACTACGGAGTTAACAAAAGTATACAAACATGGGTTAATGATTAGAGGTAACTGAGTTATTTATTTTGTTAAAGTTTCAGCTATTCTGTTTACAGTTCTGTCATCACATTATTTAATATGATTTGTTAAAACATTGTTGTTTCTTTTGATGTGAAATATTATTTATTTAGCAATGTTAATTTTGTTCGCAATTTGTTTAGTTAATTTAATAATATATGTATTTTTGAATCAAGTATTCATCTTTATTGTCTTCATTGTTAGTTTCCACATGCCTAAAACAACCTCGAGCTAAATCTAAAAGTTGATGGCTAAATAAGAGCGTTTGAGAAATTGTGCAAGGCATAATAGTCCGAATAGTCGATTCATCGTTTCATTAATCGATAAGATTAATCGATTATCAAATTAGTCGTTTGTTGCAGCCCTAGAACAAATGTACATTTCCCCTCTGTGGGACGAATAAAGGTATTCTGATTCTGAGAACGTAAAATAAAGTCAGAAAAAAGTGTCCCAGGGAAAAATGACAGAAGAGCATCCTGGTTAACCTTCATACAAGTGATGGCCAGTTTTCATTGTCTTTGATTTGTTCTTTCAGGTTAAATTAAATGTGGAAAAAATTACACAGAACCTATCAATAACTGACGTAGGACCGAGCGTTTCAACTGCATTTAACTTGCATCATCCTGTTAAATGTTTCTAAGAAGGGTCCAAGATGATACGTTATTACCCCAGCAGTAATTTCCCTAAAGATGTCTGACTCACAGCCGATTGTCCTGCACTGCAAATTAGGTTTGAAGCAGGAATACAATGAACAGAACATTACCTGACTTGTGATTATAGAAAACATCTCTGTTTAGGACATCAGCAGCAAGGTACATTCTGTGCTTCACTTACCCACAACACACTCAGACATGTTTTGGTTAAAGGACTGGTACATGAAGTTAAGATATGTACAGTACATGTGAAAGACAGTCTTCACCTCAAAGTTCTTTCTGCATCAGTAACAATGGTGTCATTTAAGATCAGCCTTTGTAATCTGCATCCGATTGTTATCTTCATCATTTATTAATGTGTTGATTATTTCAGATCCTAAAGGTGCCCTCTAGGTAAACAAACAAAAGTTGTGTTACTCACTAAATTAATTGTGTATATCATTGAGATCTCATGAATGTGATGAATGCATTCCCTTACTCAAACCTGAAAGGATCACTTCTTCTTCAAGGCAGGGAAGGCTACGCAGTACGCAGGCTGCTGCCTCTCTTTTGAACTCCGATACTGCACATTACTCACGAGACGTTTTAAAAAACGAAATGGCTTTAAGTGAAACATTCGAGGCTTTTCAGAAAACATCCGGGGCATGAGCCCAAGTAGCCACCCCCTAGCAATGTCATCCTCTGGCTTTTAGTTCATAATTATAGTCTTATTTCAATGAATCAGCTAATAGTTTCGGCATAGTCTAAACCAGTGGTTCTCAACTGGTCAGGCCTCGGGACCCACTTTTTCCTTAGTCAATAGATCGCGACCCGAAATTTTGAACCACTCAAATCTATTAAACAAAAATTCATACAGTAAAATATACTCTTTTCAGCATACATTATTAATTAAAGTGAAGTACAGTGCATATATCCCTTATATCCCTTCACAGAACTAAAGTATGCTTTTGAATAAGGTTTAATGAGATGATGGAATCAAAGCTGAACTGCATAACATAAAAAGGCACACATGCTGAAAACCCAACCCCAGAAGGGGGGTCTGGGGGGATTCTCTCCCAGGAGATTTTTTGAAATACTATCATATAAACTACCCATTCTGGTACACTCTGAGAAGAAAATAAATAAATCTATTACTACCCGACATATTGATAATATTTTATGCCATTGTTTGTTTTTCACTTTGTTCTGACAGCTTGCTGCGAGAAGAGCAAAGAGGAGATAGTCTGTGTGAATTACTTTAAATTGTGGGTAAGGGTAGATAGCCCCCATTGTTCTGTGACCTGTCAATCATCAAACTGGGGGTCATATTTCATTATGTGTTCATTTTGGTACTGAAGTTGTACCCATGGATGTATAAAGAATAGTTCTACCGCAAAGTTATTTTCCGTGGGGACTTTCCGGCAACGATCTTGATTCTGATTGGCCAAAAGACTCGAAAAAACATCAGCAAAGATGTTTTATTGAGAAGATGATCATTACGTGACAGAAGTTTTCAAAACCGTTCATGGTCTCCGGTGTCACTAGTCACTACCCGATCTGCAGTGCGCATGTGCGAGATGGTCCGCCATATTGGACAACTCCGGACGGCAACCCAAGTAGGACAACATTGACACAGTGGCTTTTGGCAAAGCTCAAAAGGAAAACTCGAGAGAGATGAGTTATTGTTATTACAACGTGACTTCACTATTATTTAACAACTCTTTTTATTGGGTTCTTTTATTTGGGGTTAAGTACATTGTCAGAATAAGTGAGAAATTGATTTAACTTCTGTTAGAAAGCTATCATACTGAATACATATTTACTGTGAATGTGTGCAAAAATGTATGGCATATAGCTGTCTAACAGAAGTTAAATCCATTTCTCACTTATTCTGACAATGTACTTAACCCCAAATAAAAGAACCCAATCAAAAGAGTTGTTAAATAATAGTGAAGTCACGTTGTAATAACAATAACTCATCTCTCTCTCTCTCTCTCTCTCTCTCTCTCTCTCTCTCTCTCTCTCTCTCTCTCGTTTTCCTTTTGAGCTTTGCCAAAAGCCACTGTGTCAATGTTGTCCTACTTGGGTTGCCGTCCGGAGTTGTCCAATATGGCGTACCATCTCGCACATGCGCACTGCAGATCGGGCAGAGCTGCAGATCGGGTAGTGACATCCGGTACTTCCAGTCCAACGCCTACTGCATGCACAGCGTTAGAAAATCGGGCTTTCAAAATAAAAGTTTGACTTTTTCCCCCCCAAAAAAAAATACTCTGCGACCCACTTGAAACGGGTCCGCGACCCATCAGTTGAGAACCACTGGTCTAAACTGATACCTCCAGTTGAATGATGTCTCCCTGCTTCCTAAAGGCCACCTCTGGTCAGTCTGTATGGAGCTTAACCAGGCAGCCGCAGCGGTCAGTCAAAGAAAGGTCAGGCTCAGGGTGGCTGCAGAGGAGAGGGAGAGAGGCAGCGGGGAGTGGCCTTCATGTTTTACTTCAAACAGCCCCATTGCATTTGACAGATTGAAGGGGATGGAAAGGAAGGAGACGAAAAAACAAAAGTGTGTCACTGGATCAGAGAAGGAGGGGAGGCAGCCTTTGTGTATATATATCAGGAATATGGTCCATGTTTTAGGTGTGTGGTTAAAAAGAAAACCTCTGTCAAAAACAAAATCCATGAAGTTCTACATTCTCAAATCACCAGACTAGTACTGGGCATTTATACCTTAACTATTATTCTTTTGACTGAAACCACCCACAGAGTGCTGTCATTGCTCAAGGTGTTTCATGCTTAATTAAATGATTTAGATGGTATAAACAATCTCAAGATCAAACACCTGTTGTAAAAACACCTTTTGTATACACAGAATCTATAGTGGAAATCACATGGGTCGGACAGTTAATGAAATGAAAAATACTTAAAACCTCTAT